TATATATGTTTGTTTTTACTGAACAAAATATTTTTTTGCTTCCCTAATAAAATGACTATGATGTCATTGTGGTTTAAAACAAAGCTAAGTTACAACATTTGTCACAACCGTTGATTTCAATCTTGTTGAACCTCATTTAGTGCCATTTGGATAAGATTTAAAACATGACAAAATGACATAAAATTAGTTAAACACATTTTTTTGTTTTGGTGACCCAGTAGGACATCAGTGCTGCTGTCTGGGTCTGCTGATGGAGTTCTGTTAATCACAGTGAAATAACTTTATCTGCAATAACACAAGACCAAGCTGACTGACTTACAACAACCACACACATATTACTCTTGACTATCAAACTCATAGGTTGCCTGAAATGTGTTAAAGAAGTAATACACTGCACATGTTCATATAGATGTGCTAAAAGGCAAACAAAGATTGAAAACACCCAAAGTTTTTCCAGCTAATCGCAATAAGTCGACCTATGAACCTTCTCTGGACTCCTCCCCAGCTTCCTCTGAGAGTCTTAGATCCACTTGCGATCGTGCAGATGCTTTTGAGGGCTGCGTTGACTCGTTTTTACCTTGGTCATTAGTTGCGTCAGTACTGGTGCTGAGGAAGGTTTGGTACTGGTTCCAGAAACCTGCTGAGCTCCTAGTAGCTGGAACATTAAGGGATGCAGAGGAGGGAAGTTGGTCAGAGGACGAACGACTGCCTCTTGCTGGTGGACGTGATGCTTTGAGTACCCCACCATGGTGCTTCATGTGCCCCTGGGAATTAGCAGACTTTAAACCATTTTGCAGATGCTCATGATAATTACAAAAGGGTTGAACTGGGTGTGATTATTAAATATTAAAATGCAAAGAGTGAAATAAGTAGGTAGTTTAACATGAAACTTTAGCAGAAAGGTGCACACTGGCTAATACTTCCACCCAGTGGGAGTTACTTCAGACTAACCAATGCAATTCAATGTTAACCTTACTTTGATCTTTGAATTTAAAGCAATGTTGCTAATGGTAAATGTAAAGCTCCCCTAAAGCTACTGGTAAGTGTGTTTTACCTTGATAAAATATCTGTTTCACAACAAGTACATTAAAACACATTCACTGATGCATACGATAAGATGAATTCCTAACCTTCAGTCCACTGCGACTGGCGTACTCCTTTCCACACTCAGCACAGCAATAGGTCTTCTTCTCAGGACGTGACATTGGCGATGGGAGAGTTGGAGCCAGGCTGATGGGCACAGAAACATCCAGAGCTTCATTTGAAACCAGCCCACAATCTTCCCTCATATAAGAACCAAAGTGAGAGCTTTGACGTGTCTCTCTTGCCGAAGTGACTGCTCTTTGCGATTCACCACTAACGTTGCTTGCAAGGTCGTCTGCATGCACTACCATGGGGGTTTGTTTAGGGTCTTTGTCAGGCACAGTTACTTGGTCTTGTTTTGGTGTTGGAGATGAAGGAGGCAGACCATTGCCTTCCTCCATGGGTTCAGGTGACTGGGGTTTTGGGGAGGTTGAGTCTGTTTTTGCATTGACATCAAATACTTCTTGACCGGGAATGGAATCAGAAGTTATACCAGGAGCAGTGTAAGTAAAATGAGCACTAATAGCAGTTGTGCTTTGTAAGTTGTCCAGATCAGATGTAGCATCAAGGAAGGCATTTAAGGTAGATGATTCTTTATATGCTTTAGATGCTCCGTGATCCCCCAGCATTGCAGGAGAGGACTCTGTGGTTTTGTTACCACTGGATAGAAGGGGTGCAGGATCAGATGTAGGAATGGGGATCTCCAGATCGCCAGATGGTTGTTGTTGGACCTGATTATCTTCACTGGCAAGCAAAGCTCGATCCGACTGCTGGGAGACTGGCAGAGGTGCACTGACACTAAGGATAGGGGGGTCAGCAAGGCCAGGTGGTGGAGTTTGTGAGATGGGATTTAGGAAAGGTTCAGGGCTTAGGTCAGTAGGGGGGATTTTATCTGGGCTGGGGGATGGAGACTTGCTATGACTTTTCTTAGTAGATTTTATGCTGACAGAGACTGGAATGGAGCCAACTGTTAGTGCCTGGCATTGTAAGCCTGGAAATGGGTCTTTAGAGTGGCCAGCTAAAGGAGGTGTTATATTTAAGGTAGGATTTTGGTCAGTGGACTTGGACTGGGACTGCATCGAAAATTTAGGATTAGATTCAAGTGACATCTCCTGCTTAGAATCCTCTGTGCTATCTGGAGGCAATTGCCCACCAAGGTGCATTCGTATGTGATGCTGAAGAACCAGGGCATTGGTAAATTTGCGCTGGCATAGTGGGCAAGAGTTTTGAACACGTGTGTTAGATGGTCGAGCATGATGGGTGGCAAGATGTGAGCTCAGGCTGCCTTTAGTAGAGAAGGACCGCCCACATATTTTACATGGAAATGGTCGTTCTCCAAGGTGCGTGGCCTGGTGTAGCCGCAGTGCTCTGGGACAGCTCAGCACCCGCAGACAAACCCCACACTGATTCGTTGCCAGGTTATGTGGTGATCCAGTAGTACTTAGTGATGGTGTCATCCCACCCACCATTGCCTTTGCTCCACTGCTGCTCATTCCTAGGGCGACAACCATTTCACGGGTGAACTGTGAAACAGAGGTAGAAACAACATTTGAAGTTGGAGATGCCACAACATATGTGGTGGAGGTGTTGGCATTTGTGAAATGGCTGTTGGCTGAACTTATAGAAGAGGACTTAGGACTACCAGATAAAATCTCAAGCATGGAAGTGGTAGCAGTGGACGAAGTCCACGGAGAAGAGGAGAGTGGAGGGGCCTTTTCTAGCTTTTCCACCAGTCTCTGCAGCTTTGAGGTTTCAGATGTAGGAGTAGCAGTAGTTACAGAGGAGGGCAGAAAAGATGGAAGGGTGGTAGTGGGCTGACCAAGAATTTTGGGAAAGGAAGAAGCAGGAAAAGAAAATTGGGAATGACTGGAAGTATGTTGTTGGGAGCCTACAACAGAAGGTAGCTGGGTGCGTAGCAAGCCCAATGCTGGATGGCTGTACAAAGGTGAGTTAGCAGTTTGGGAAGAGGAAGAAGTAGAAGTAGTTGGAAATAGAAGCTTTGGGAGGTGGGCTAACTGAGAATAAGCTGCAGGAGGCAGCAGTGGTGCATGAGGTGGAGTGTTTTCATCAAAGTGTTGCTGTTTGGCACCTTTGAATAACCCAGCAAAGGTAGAAGAGGAAGACAAGGAAGGGCTTGAGAGAAGGGAGGTAGCCAAAGAGGAGGTGGAAGTTGCAGAGGAAGAGGATGACTGTGCTGAACAGGAGGCAATTGAGGCTGCAGCAGCAACCGCCCTGTTTAGCTGCAGGAGAGAGTGAGAAATAAGAGATAAATCCACACTGGGAGGAAGAGGCAGAGAAGAAGGAGTTGATTCTTCAGAGGTTCCAACAGAAAGTCCACTGTTAGTTCCACTGACCTCCAAGTTATCTTTGCATCTTTCATCCTCAGCCCTGGTTTTTGGCTTCTTTTGTGTAATATTCATTCCACTAGTACTAGTTTCACTGTTAATGATCTGTCCTATATCTGATACCCCGGTGGCCCCTAACGCTACCCCAAATAATGATGGTGGAAGAAGTGAAAGGGAGAGCTCTGGGTTTTGTTCACGGTGACGAAGGAAGTGCACCTTCAGGTTGCCTCTTGTGGTAAAACGACTGAGGCACACTGGACACTGGTAGGGTCGTTCACCTGTGTGTGAGCGAATATGGATCTGCAGGGCAGAATCACTGCTGAAGATTTTTCTACAAAAACGACACACATGCTGGAGACGGCCAGCGGTATTGGAACTAGATGCAGAGAAGTCAATACCACCAGAGACGGACTGTAGTACCCGTTGGGAGCTTGGTATAATGGATAATGGTGTGGGGATGGATGCATTTAGGAAGGATATGTCACACTGCCCACTCCCTGTAGTGGTGTTAGGAGATTTCTCGTGAAGATATCGATTGGGTACAGCTAGAGCCAGAGGATAGGTAGAGGAAGACATGGAGCTGCCTGCAGAGGAGGTGAAGGGTGGGGAACATGGAGAGCTTTCCCATGAATGACCGTGTGTGACTGCAGTTCCCTTTGCTCCTTCCACCTGTGATTTGTGAGGCTGCAAAATCTGAGACAAGGATGTGCATGGTTGTGTGGGTTTGTTGGATGTCTGAGAGGGAAGCATGGAGGAGAAACATGCCAAGAGAGGAGTCACAGTGGTGGAGGGCTGAGTTGCAGCTGGCTGAGATGTGTTTTTGCTGCCTTCCAAGCAGAGCTGTGGCAAGGGAGGGAGGAGATACTGGGATGGTGTGTCTATGCTATAGGAGTCCCCACCAAGGCGTAGCACCTGTCTACAGATCTCCTCTGTAATCTGCATCTGGTGGATCTGTCGTTGCTGCAGCACCCGGAGCTCCTCCAGGATCAGGGCAATACTCAGCTGTGTCCTAACAGGTGCAGCTGAGGCAGATGTCAATCCTGGGCTTGGAATGGGAGTAACAGGACTTGGGGGACCATCAGGTACCTGACTGGGGCTTCCTGGGTGTAGTGGAGGACATGGCAAGGCTGAAGATGATAAGGGAGAAGAGGAGGTAGTGGTAGTGGCTGATAACCCCAGCTTGGGAGAAGCCATGGTGGGGATGAAAGCACAAAATGCAGAACTGCAACCAGATCGTTGAGAAGCAGGAGGGAGAGAGTAAAAAATTAGAAAGAATAGAAACCAGTCTGTTTCCAAGGGACTGCTGGGAGGGCTGTCTTGGTGAATCAGGAAATATTGACACCTCTGTGGGTATTGTTGGGTGTTGAAGAGCTTTTACAACATAAACAGAAAGCAATGAGCAGATCAGGGTTTTCAAGATATGATGGACAGCACTCCAGAGAATCTCAATGTGACTTCAGTGGGAAGTTGGCATCTGAGGAAAAAAAAAAAAAAAAAAGCAATCTTTAGTGAAGAATGAAATGTTTTACAGTACATGAAAAATACATCAGTGAGAAATCAGTTCTGTTCCATCTTTTATTAAAATGTTGAGGTCCCCCAAGGTTCTTTATTAGGGCCCATTCTTTTTAAACTTTGTTAATGACTTACTTTATGTATGGTCAAATGTTAAAGTTTAGCTATATGCAGAGTATATTGTAGTGTATACACCAGCTGAAGCAGCTGATAAAGCTATGGTAGCTGTATCTCACTAGCTTCGAGATTCATGTTTATGTCTTAATACTAAAAAAAACTGTTGTTTTTTTTTTCCACACCAGCCAGCAGAGGGCCCAGGGCCAAGTGTTCATAGACAGAAACTTGATGTGGTAGATCAGTTCTAGTGTTCTGTTTGACTCAGATCTTACTTTAAGGCAACATCAATCTATTTAATAATAGACTACTACTGTAATAAAATTTGGCAAATTAATCATCATATTAGACCTTTTCTCACACAGGCAGCTAAAACTTTAAATACAGCAACGATCTTTTCTCGTATATCTTATTATCTTATGACCTGGTCAGACACAACAGGAAATCTGCTAAAACCCATTAGTCTCTCTTCAAAAAGACAAAGTTTTAGATGAAAACCTTTTCATGTTCACTGTTGTACTATCATCAATAAGTATAACATCTTGGACTCTGAAAATTACCAAATGTTCAGTGATCTAAGTCTTGTTTTTAGAGGTTTAAATGGACTTGCTCCTCCATCTTTAAATTTTTATGCATTAGTATAAAACCAGAATAAACACTAGATCACAGACTAGAGGAGACTGTGTCGTAGTGAGATGGAGAACGGAGATTTGGCAAAATGTGACGTCAGTTAAAGGAACACGTTTATTAAATGAATTTCCAGAACATACCAGACTGTGACTGTTATTCTGTTTTAAAAAATAAACTTAAAACTTGGCTCAAAGAAAATCAGTCATGTACTCATGCATGTTTTAACTGTAACTTATAGAGTGTGATGTTTGTGGTTTGTTTTATGGATTGTATTTGTTGTGCGCACTTGTTTTATAAACTATTTTAATTTTTATCTGCTTAGGACAACAGATTAAATTTAGCTGTTGTGCTAATTCTGGCGCTAATTCTAATTAATGTGCACTGTCCTTTTCGGATACAAGCGGCCAAAATGAGTTTTCTCCGCAGGGTGTCTGGGCTCTCCCTTAGAGACAGGGTGAGAAGCTCGATCATCCGGGAGGGACTCGGAGTAGAGCCGCTGCTTCTCCATGTCGAGAGGAGCCAGTTGAGGTGGCTTGGGCATCTGTTTAGGATGCCTTCTGGACGCCTCCCTGGTGAGGTGTTCCAGACACGTCCCACCGGAAGGAGACCCAGAGGAAGACCCAGGACACGCTGGAGGGACTATGTTTCTCGGCTGGCCTGGGAACGCCTCGGGATTCCCCCGGAAGAGCTGGCCCAAGTGGCTGGGGAGAGGGAAGTCTGGGCCTCCCTACTTAGGCTGCTACCCCCGCGACCCGACCCCGGATAAGCGGAAGAAAATGGATGGATGTCCTTTTCAATAAATAATTATCAAATGTAATAGTTTTCATTCTGTGTTATTGTAGCGCCCCTGCTGCTGTCTCCACTCATACATACATACATATATGCATGCACTTACACACAGACACACAAATGTCCTTCTATCTGACTGGCGTGCAAGAATACACAGAGGAGCCAATCTTGTTACTAGAACAAAACACATGACAACAAAGTTTACCCTTTGACCCCACCTCATGATTAAAATGCCACATGGAGAGGTTTTGTCCTTAGGCTCAGTACTTTGTGGGTTGGTCCTGGTTGGGTTCTGGGCGCCATGCTAAGTGTCTGACTGGTTTACAGATGCGGCCCTAAACAAACTCAAGTTGATTTTGTGACATGGTTTAGGGGCCAGCAGAGGTGACATGCAGTGAAAACAAACCGGTCTGCGAAGATGAAGACTTACAGCTTCATCAGCGAGCACACGGGTAAAAAACACACGAGGAAAAGGTGCAACACGCATGCCAGCACACAGAAACATGCAGAACTTACTGCTGTTCAACACACTGATCCATGTTCTTGCAACTTAAGTTGACAAGACAGTCAGAAATGCAGCTGTGCTCACGCACGCACACACGCTTCTGCATTCACGCTTCAGTGGTGGACAACAGAGCTGAAGGGGACAATGAGTCCTCGTACTACTGCAGCACACCTTAAACAGCGACTCACTGTTTCTTTTTTTTATTCACCTTTTACAGTCTGTCTCTGAATTCTGGGTGGTCTCTGAGCCTGAACGTTCGGAGAGCTAGATTTAATCAAACAAATGAGGCAACATATTGGATAAACTGTATAAATAAATAAAAAGAAAGACTGTTCAGTAACAATCCTTGTTTAAAAGTCTTGAATTAATCATGGACCTGGATACACTTTACATTTTAAACGGGCTTAGATTAAACATAAAATTAAGGATTCAGCAGTTCAGCTATGCCTCAAGGATATGGGACACTCATCTGAGGACCTAAATGTTCACATTTTGGACATAGAGGACAGGTGGTTTGAGAGGGGACTAAAGGAAGCTATGTATGTAAAATGAGAGAAACCATCCTTAAACAGAGGTCTCAGATTTCAACTCTCTAAAACTTATAATGCAGCTTTAGGCCTGATACCATCATTTTCACACCTATCAAGAATTTCATTAATGTCACCAGAGTGACTCCTCTGTGTCTCCGACTAAAGACCTTTATCAAACCTCTATTGTGAGGAGCGGTAGGGCAATCTAAAGTACCGTATTTTTCGCTATACACGTCACTCCACCCTATAAGTTGCATCAGTCTAAATATGTCTAATAAAGTGGAAAAATACATAGATATGTCAGTTTGCCACCGTATACGTCGCATCTATTATGCGTCACTGCTGACGCATCGCGTTTGTTACGTGTCACCGCTGACAACCCGGAAATGTGGGCCGGTGTTGTGCCCAAAATCAATTAGCTGCCAAATGGCGGCCGCGGGAGCATGCACGGGAGGACTTTAACAAGAATTTAACAAGATTAACACTTAAAAACAATTATTTGTTTGCTCAACTTTATAGCAAAGGTGTGTCTCAGTTGAACTTTTACTTAATAAATGTACTTCAATGGGCAAATCAGCTTAATTTCACCGGGGCGGCGCAGCAAAATGAAGCTGGTTTGACGGTTGCTCCAAGCGAGCTGGACGACAGTGGCGGACTATGGCAAGCCGACTGTGTCATTAATAGCCACTTTTACCTATTACATGATGCGACGGCATGCCATACTACTTGAGTGCCATCTAGCGTCCGAAAATGGTAGTGTTCAATATTTTCAGTCAGAATGAATGAAAACGGTCATATCTCAGCCAAAAATTCATTTATAAATATGGGGGGGGGGAGGTGGACATAAATAAGTCACTTTGGCGTATAAGTTGCAGGGCATGTAAACTATGCAAAAAAACAACAAAAAACCCCGCAACTTATAGTGCGAAAAATGCAATATGTATCTACCTATCAAAATTACCCTTTATTGTGAACATTTTAGAGAAAGTGGTGCACTCTCAGATCTTAACTTATTTAAACAAAAACTCACTTTTTGAAAAATTTCAGTCTGGCTTTCATCAATATACAGAAACCACATTATTAAAAGTTGTGAATGATATTAAGATGAACTCAGATGCTGGCTGTTGTACTGTCTTAATGCTCCTACATCTTTCTGCTGCGCTTGATACAGTTGATCATAATATTCTGTTGAGCCGACTAAATTATTGGCTAGGTGTTAGAGACATTGCTCTGAGGTGGTTCAAATCTTATCTTCATGACAGAACTTTTTTGGCAATTTCTGGCAATAAATCCTCCAGTTCAGCTTCTCTCACTTGTGGTGTCCCCCAAGAGTCTATTCTTGGGCCACTATTATTTTCCATTTATATGCTACCACTTGTTCAGGTTATTCATAAATGTTTCTTTTCATTTTTATGCAGATGATTCCCAGATTTATTTGGCTATTAACCCATCAGACCTCTCTACACTCAATAAACTTACCCTATGTCTTACAGACATCAAAACCTGGATGTCTGATCATTTTTTTTTCACTCAACAACGATAAAACTGAGGTGATGGTGTTTGGACCCAAGGCCAAAAGGGATTTAGTAGTTCAGTCCTTTTCTGTTCTTGGTTTTACTCGTGAAGCCAGAAATTTGGGGGTGACCTTTGATTCTGATCTTAGTTTTTCTAAACATTTTAAGAACACCACTAACACAGCATTTTTTCAAATGAGGAATATTGCCAAAATCAGAGCTTCTCTTTAACCGATGCAGAATCTCTTATTCATGCCTTTGTCTCATGCCATCTTGATTATTGTAACTTTATTTTCTGGTCTGCCCCAAAATTCTCTTAATCTTCTTCAACTAGTACAAAATACTGCAGCTAGAGTTCTTACAAGATCCCATAAATATCAGCACATCACTCCAGTTCTGTCCTCATTGCATTGGCTCCCTGTGGTTTTTAGAATTGACTTTAAAATGTTATTGTTTGTTTTTAAATCCCTGAATGGTCATGCACCATCATATATAGCTGAGCTTCTTACCCCCTACATCCCTTCTTGCAATCTCAGATCCTTAAATCAGTTATTACTTTCCACTTCCAGAGCTCGACTGGTGGCAGAAGGAGGGAGGGCTTTAATGGTCAGGGCTCCCAATTTGTGGAATGCTCTTCCTCTAAATATTAGACAGGCCTCTTCATCGTCTTCTTTTAAATCATTAGTTAAAACTTACTTGTTTAATAAGGCTTTTAATATCTGAATTACTTCTTTTTTTCTTACATTGCTATGTATTTCAATTGATTTGGTATATTTTTGTGTTTCTGGTGTCATTTATAATGTTGTTTTAATTGATTAATGTTAAGCACTTTGTAACATTTGTTTGAAAGGTGCTATACAAATAAAGTATTATTATTATTATTATTATTACCTTAGCTCAGCTTTACAACTCCAACCCTACACTCTCTGTTCTTTAAAGTGAGAAAGTTCCTCGGATGAGAAGCTAAACATCTTCTGTTAAGTCCAGTTGTTTTTGTCTTGAACTTTTTGAATTTACCACGTCCTGGATGACTGATAATCTCCACCAGTGCATAAAATTTCATTCAACCTTTATTCAGACAGGTAAATCCCATAGAGCCTGGAGGACTCATTTACAAGAGAGACCTTAAATTAAGGAGTTTAACTCCAAAAATGCTACTATTCAACACACCGGCACAAATATAAAGTATTCAGGGACAAACTCTCTTCACATACCCCCCCCCCCCCACACACACATACCACACACACTTGTTCACCCACTGAACTACTTTGCATTCCCACGGCATGTGAACACTCAGTTCTTTGAGTCCCCTGCCTCTCGTTTTACATCAGAACTTTGTCACATTGTTGAATTGATCTGAGCTCGCATGTCCAGATTAGGCCTTAATGAAACATTTCTGTTGGTGTCAAACCAAATGTTTTCTGATTCTCAGGAACCATCTTCAGCCCGTCATGGGCTGAACATTTCTTGTGGTGCAGCTCTACCAGGGCTGAGCTGAGGAATGTGCAACAATGCTGAGTGAAACTCTCCCAACACATAATGGCCCTGCCTGGAGGCACAAAGCTCCCTTTTCACAATCAAGCCTTCAGCTTATACCACGTGGAGTGAAAGGTAATGAAAGGAAGGACAGAGACAGACATTTTGCTTTTCCCCAGGCCCTGGCTGCCTCAGCCCCTCCACCTCTTTCTTCTGTTCACAATCAGAAAACGCATGAGGATTTAACATCAACTAACTGTATTGGAATAAAATTAAATATAGGGTAGTCCATTAAGTAATCTGAAATATATTTAAAAAGGTAAACATGAAAAGCTGAATTATTTTGCTTTGGGCTTTAAAAGGCTTGTTGACTACCAGCAAATCTTACTTTGTGCTCTAAGAGTTGTGAAAACAGCCGCAGCTGTGGGTTCGAGGGCTTAAAGCTGATTTCTTCGTGTCAGGAGCATCGCGTGCCATTTTGTCACTTTGCGCCTCCATGACATGGCTGGAGCCTTTTCTTTACGTCCGTGTTCAGAAATCAGCGCTGGGAGATGCGCGCGCCCGCTACTGTACAGCGACCTGTTGCACGCCGCGCGCGCACACATCATAACAAGTTATGATTCATAAAATATGATGAAGGGAAAACGCGCTTCCGGATGCGCGTTTCCGCGGCGGGCCGCGCGCCGCCGACACGGTCCTGAGAAAGAATACAGAAGGAAACAGAACTCACCCCGACGAGAAACGATGATTTTTTTTTTTTTTTTTTTATAGAATAATTTTTCAGCACCGATGTTGTGGAACGAGGAGGAGGAGGAGCAGCAGGAGGAGGAGGAGAGCTCCGCCGGGATGACGCGCTCTCAGCCGGGACTGTGGCGCAGCGTCTCCCCGCTCAGACCCGGAGACGCGCAGGCGAACAGACGCATTTTTTCCCCCAAACCTTCAGATTATTTATGTCCCTCACAGACTGACTGAATGTCTGAAATATGAAAGTATTCAGTCGGTGGAGCAGAGGAGGGGCGGTGCAGATGGCTGTGCCCTACATGGAGGAGGAGGTGCTGTTTGTTCTGGTCTGGGCCTGCTGCTCCTGTCCAGCCTGTCTGCGCTCTCTGCAGCACTGTCTGTCCGTCTGTCTGTCTCCCTGTCTCTCATAATTAATGACCCCCGGTACCAGACACTCCGGTTCTGGACCAGCGGTGGTTCCCATTGATTCATCAGATTCAACTTTCAGGAAAAATAAGCGAAATCGTGTTTTATTTGTGCAAATGATGAAATCTCACATTCAGTGTTGAGGCTGAATCACGTTTCAAAGTGAGGGAAGTAAAAATACAATTAAAGCAGCTGTAAAACCGGATGTGCTGCAGTTTTATAGCACCAGTCTGAGGAATGCTGAGTCATACGAAGAACTTGTCGAGTCATTTTCCACCGTTTTGCTTTTCATTGCACATTTATTTCACTTTTTTTTTTATTAAATACTGGGTATTCAGCTGCAGCCAGGTAATATGGCGCAAAACAGCCACTAGGTGTCGCTCAAACAAGTCTCCCCGCCAACAACTGATTAACCAATTCAAGATGGCCGCCACAGTTAATTTACATTACAAAACACAAAAAATGTATATATTTCTTAATATTACAGGTATTGACCTAACATTTGGTGTTGTGGTAGGTGAGACTGATCCACTGAGCACAAACAGATCGCAACACTTTTGTTCAAGGATTCATGGTTCTTTATTTCTCGTTCCCACCACTTGTACATGAGGTGGAATGAAATTGTGTACACAGAGTCCCAGTTACATCCAACAAAAGTATAAAATGTAAAGAAAAACATTAATAAGATCTAAGATATGAACTAAGAAAAACAACTAAAAATACACTAAACACTAGTAGCATAAAAACAATACGCCGAACAGCAGCACGAACATGAGTCTGTGTGAGCAGATGAGCACGCATGAACACATCAACATGAAATAGATCAGCAGCAACATGAAACAGATCAGCAGCAACATGTGATTTTTCACAGTAATTCTCCTGGTTAGAGATTCATGAGTCTAACAGCCTCAGGGTAGAAGCTGTTCCTCAGTCTAGTGGTTCTACACTTAATGCTCCTCAACCTCCTGCCTGAGGGGAGTGGGGCAAAAAGTGTGTGTGCTGGGTTTTAAATGATCTACTGTATATGAGTTTGTAAGCAAAATATCTCATGAACCACTATTTTAATGGAACTTTCAGGAAATGATCACTGAATGTTCACCTACAAAATAATGGATTTTGGAGCTGACCCAATCCAAGATGGTTGCCACGGTCAGCTGTGGATCAAAAACACAAACAGGTCTCTAAGTCCATCCACATCACATTAAGCTAAAATTCACTTGGTTGTTGATAAGAAACAGTTGCAATTCATGCTCACAAGTGCTATTCATTGTCCAAAATCATTGCTTAAAACTAAAGCTGTAACTGTTGGAGTCAATGCTTTTGGTCTGTTAGCAAAATATCTCATGAACCACTGAACAGACATTACAGAAACTCTCATAAAGTGACCATTAGCAGTTCATCTACTGCTGATTACCTTTTGAAGTCAATTGGTTTCAGATTGTCACTAAACTAATCAACAATAGCCAACACAAAAATGGCCATAACTCTGTTAATTTTGCTCTTTAAAGAGCAAAGATTCAATGTGGTAGTAACTGAGAGTCCTCTTGAACACGTATATGAGCATCGTGTGAGATCTTGTTTAGTATTATTTTCACGATTTCACAAAAACGTGTGCAACTTTTCAATAATAATAATAATAATGTCATCACAATATCAGCACTGTATGTTTCCATACAATGGCGAAATTAGTCTCTGCATTTAACCCATCCACCACCAGGTGGTGCAGTGGGCAGCTATTGAAAGCGCCCGGGGGACATTTTGGGGATGAGACGTGCTGCCCAGAGACGCCACGTGATGTGCAGTGACTGGGGATCGAACCTGGGACTTTCGGGTCCCAAGCCGGCTGCCCTGCCTCTACACCATATCCATCCATCCATTTTCTTTACCCGCTTATTCCATTTTGGGTCACGGGGGTCGCTGGTGCCCATGTCCAGCAATCACTGTGCGAGGGGCGGGGTACACCCTGGACGGGTCGCAAGTCCACAGGGCCACATATAGAGACAAACGAGACAAACAACCATTCACTCTCTCACTCACACCTAGGGACAATTTAGAGTTACCAATCAGCCTAACATGCATGTTTTTGGTCTGTGGGAGGAAACCGGAGTACCCAGAGAAAACCCACGCATGCACGGAGAGAACATGCAAACTCCACCCAGAAAGGCCCCTGGACCGGGGTTTGAACCAGGGACCTGCTCGCTGAGAGGCAGCAGCTCTACCAGTTGCGCCACCATGTTGCCCCTTTTCAATATATATTGATCTTAATTTAAAACTCTGGTGTAAAAGCAGGCTTCAGGTCTTTATGTTTAACTGTCCTTAACTTGTCTTTTAGTTTATCGTTCTCATTTCTCGTTACCTTTTTTTAACCAGATTTTTTTAATCCAATGGGATCTAGATCTCTTTTCTAAGTGTGACATGGTCAAGTTATCAGAAGTACACGTCATAAAAACAGTGTCCCAGGACTGGAGACAAACCTCAGGACGCTGTGGTGGACAGTGTCCCAGGACTGGAGACAAACCTCAGGACGCTGTGGTGGACAGTGTCCCAGGACTGGAGACAGGTGGATGGGGCACTCATATACAGCACATCACAATCCATCCATCCTTCATCTTCTGCTTGTTCCAAAGTCTGGTCTTGGGGCGTCTTGAGCAGGAGGTCCAGACATCTCTTTCCACAGCCACCTCTTCCAGCTCATCAGGGAGGACTTCAAGGTGTCCCCAGGCCAGCCGAGAGATATAGTCTCTCCAGTGGGTCCTGGGTCTTCCGTGGGGTCTCCTCCCAGTCGGACATGCCCGAATCACCTCCCTAGGGAGGCACCCAGAGAGCATCCTTATCAGATGAATGAACCACCTCAACTGGCTCCTCTCGATGTGGAGGAGCAGCAGTTCTACTCTGAGTCTCTCCTGATAACTGAACATCTCACCCTGTCTCTAAGGGAGAGTCCAGCTACCCTGCGGAGGAAACTCATTTCAATCTCCTGTATCCATGATCTCATTATTTCAGTCACTACCCAGAGCTCATGACCACAGGGGAAGGTAGGAACGTAAACCCACCAGTAAACAGAGAGCTTTGTCTTACAGCCCAGCTCTCTCTTCACCACAATGGACCAGCACAGAGTCCGCAGTACTGCAGATGCTGCACCAATCCGTCTGTCAATCTCACGCTCCATTCTTCCCTCACTCGTGAACAAAACCCAGAGATACTTGAACTCCTCCACTTGAGGCAGAACCTCACCCTCGACCTGAAGAAATCAATCCACCATTTTCCAGTTGAGGACCATGACCTCAGAGTTGGAGGTGCTGATTCTCATCACAGCCACGTCACACTCAGCTGCGAACCGCTCCAGTGAGAGCTGGAGATCACGGCACGATGACACCAACAGGACCACATCATCTGCAGAGAGCAGAGAAGGAATCCTGAGACCACCGAACTGGACTCCCTCCTCCCCCTGGCTGCACCGAGAAATTCTGTCCATAAAACCTATGAACAGAATCGGTGACAACGAGCAGCTCACCACAATCCAGTAAAGACATAAAGATAGCTAAACTAAAGTCTTCTTAACTCTGAGTGAGAAACAGGATTTATTCCTGTGAAGTTTATTAGACGTTTGTGGAGGACTTTCTTCTATAAGTGGGATGAAAACATGTGGAGAACAAAGTTTTTACTATAGCTCAGCCATCTTAAGACTACTTAAAATTATATTACCTTTAAAATGTTAATAGACAGAGTCCCCTCCCCTCCTGGGGTCAGGTGACCTCTGAGTGCAGAGAATCTGCTGGGATTAGTCGACACACTCACCTCACATATCACAGATACTCTCCGATGGCAGCCGTCTGAAAACACCAGGACGCCAGCAAGTAAGGAAATTATTTCTTTGTTTCTCTTTTCAAATACAGAAGTTGAGATTGGCAGACCGGAGTTTGAGGAGAGCGTCAGAATAACAGCAGGTGTAGGAGGATGATCTCCTGATCCCTCTGCTGTAACAGCTTGTGTCTTAGTCGAATTAATGCTCATCAGAGGTCAGCGCCACAAGCCCCTTTACCCTCGTTCTAATAACAGCATGAAATCAAAGTTTTCTTTACAGTCGCACGTGTCATGTTTCTTCTGTCTGCTAAACCACAAACACTGAGGTCAGTTTAAACCCTGACCAGGTTGAGATTGACCTCGTTATCATTTTTTTCTAGTTTTGATGAATATTCTCATGATAATTTTTTTTATTTCCTCATAATAAATTTTGAAGTACTTTCAGTTAGTTTTGTCAGCATCTCTTTTCTATTCATTATTAGGTATTTTATTCTTAGAATAGATGGTAGACAGATTATATGTCTGAGTGGAACATGGGCTTCCCTCTCGTCCTAGTGGTACAACTAATAAACTTTTTATTCAAAGTAATACTTTAAAATTTAGTGACATTGTTTATATAAAAACACTGGAAATAATGTATAAAGCACTGAATAAAAGTCTTCCTTCTGGAGTTCAGAAATTATTTAAGTTAAGAGAGAGTAAATATAATTTATGAGGTCTGTTAATATTTGAACAAGCTATAAAGTAAAGTAAAATCTAGATGTATTTCAGTTACTGGTGTGAAACGAACTGAATGATGATCTCAAATAATGTGCTTTTTAGTGAGCTTTAAAATAGTCTTAAAATGTAAAATTATAAAAGCTTATACTGTTATGTAGATGTGTATTGTGTAACTATGTATGTATGTAATGTACGTGTATGTATGTAATTACATGCATATTTAAATATAAATGTGTACTTCTGTATGTATATGGACAGTAGATATCTGTCAATAAGTAGACTGCTGAGTCTATGAACAGGGTAGGCAACTAGAAGCCTCGGCTTCAGACTATTCCTTTTTTGGTAAATTATTGATTTGTAAAATAGTATTTTATATTGTTTTCCTTTTTTGTAATGTTGTTAATTTACCAAAATAAAGTTGAGATGAGAGTGGTATGAGTGTTTGGTACGTGGAACTTACACAAATTACACTTTTTATTCATCCAGGTGAAGGTCTTATTGAGATTTAAAATCCCTTCTCCAGGAGAGACCTGGCTAATAGGCAGCAACACAAACAAAAGCATGTTGCACAGCAATAAATAGAAGAGGAATATTGTTAGAATGTAGTGAACAACCAAATTATTTTACTTTAGTAAAATCAGAACAGTCACAAAACCAAAAACATTTGCATTGACCAATGGATGGATGGATGAGTGTGTCTGTCTGTGTGTTTGTGTGTGTGTGGTTGATTGGCTGGTTGGGTAGGTAGTTTAGTCCAGTTTAGTTACTATTTAACCTAACATGAATGCATTTGGTCTGTGATAGGAAAGTACCCATAGACAACCCACGTATACTCAGGGAGAACATGTAAACTACATACAGAAAGGCCCCAATCCTGCAACTTTCTCACTGTGAGGCAACAGCTCTAACCACTGCTCAACCGTGCTGCCCCACTGTAAAAAAAACAATTGGATAAATCGTATATTTCCTCACCTGAAGTGAGAAACAAGGTTTAATCCTACCCTAAAAGTATTTACAAGGTTTTCAGGGCGAGTTTTAAATGATTAGTTTTTGATTGAAATTGATGTCTAAATATGTAAACAGTTTAATTTTAGCCATTTGAATGGTTTTATTCTAAGAAAGAATAGACAACTCTGCCGTTTGAGAATATCATGCACTTAGTTTTGCTTGCATTAACACCAGTTTAACTTACACAAAGTTTGTTTTCTCAGTCATCCAGGTATATAACAACAAAAAA